TATTAAATTCTCTCGAAGACGTTTGGTATGGAAAATAACTAAATAATGCATACGGATGCATACAGATAGAGATACGAGGACTGACAACAAACTGGTATACGATGTATAAATATTTATTTTTGTTCTGGATTCCGTACACAACCCAAGATTCATCGATTTATAATAAAATAATTAATACCCATATATGTTCATATACTGGTTCTTTATGTATTTTGGATAAATCAATCACTCTTAGATATACGATCAATCAGTCTTGAGGTACAGGATTTGACATATTGTGTTTAGCGAAATGTACTTCATGGGGACGTCTTGATTCAGCCAAATCCTTATCTAGACACCATACTCATATGATCTTGAATAATATGGGTAAGTAAGTGTGCCCATGCTTTTACAAATTCGCTAATTTGGGACAAGCACTACACAGATAAATTGTATAACCCAATAAATTCCTGAGAGTTTTTGGCTTGTTTTGGTCTTATTCGATTGTATCATATCCCTAATCATCCCTTATCGTATGGCCTTCTTGCCAAATCGAAGATTTTACCGCTTATCCAGTCAAGATGGTGAACACGAAAGTGTTCAATTAATCTTGAGAATGATATATTTTTTCAGATTTGGGAGTCAGTAGAGAAGATATTGGCGAAACTAAAATGATATTTCATAAAAACACCGGAATGTTCCCCCTGAATCACGGACGTTATACCATACTCTGTAACTTCCGTAACATACCCTGGTATTGGATTTTTTCCCTTGACTGAATCGCGTCCAGGTGAGACGTGATTTTGCGAGACTCTAGGACGAGATTATAGAAAACGTTTCAGTGTATGAACGTGTAAAATACAGTTAAAAAGGAAAGGGTCTCTTTCTGCCAAGATATCTGTACGATTGAAATGTGATTGAAATGGTACTGTAATGTGCCATTGAGTCAGTGTGTAACGTGTGCCCCAAAACAAGCAAATATTTATAAAATGGACTGCAAACTGTTTCACGACATTCAGGGCTCTGGTTAGACAGTCCGTTGATTAAATAACTCAATCATTTGATGGTGACTCTTTAGATTTGATAATCCAATCCACACTAATATGCACTGTGAATGACATTTCATCATGTCGTTTTCAGACAACGTATAAAGAATGCAAATATCGTTTGAAGAGCTAAAACCACCCACGTGAATTTAGTAAGGTGAAGTGATAGTGTTGGTATTAAGAAGGTAAACATAATGTTGTTTCTGGGTTTCTCGTAACTTGTCCTTATCGAGAGATTGGTTTCGCATCTTTAAGAGTGCTTCGATCTGTACTTTAGTCGTTATACTCTTACAATGTTGATAATCTTACTTGAAGTTCCTCTGCCTCCCCTTCACACACATACTCCATCTTCTCAAGGTAGTCCCCTCTCAAAAGTAAATAGGGAGGACTTTAGAGACCGTATAGTAATGTGCAATCGAGCTATTAGGCCATCACGAGAAATCATGACCTTCTGAAAAACAGAAAGATGTGATGAGTATCAAAATGCTATTATGGAGGTTAAGCTTCAATTTTTGAAAATGACTTGTACGGGAACGTGTTGAATTATGATGCTTTGGGAATTAGTTTTCCACTTCGAAGTTGTTACTTGCCCAATTGAGTACAACCCTAAAAGAAATGATTTAAATTAGGTCCCAGGAAAAACCGATTGAGAGGAGGACAGTTATCCCTAGGCAGGGGCAGATCTGGGAACCAACAAGAGGGGGGGGGGGGCGTAGAGAAAAAAATGTTGCCCCTAAAACCCAAAAGTGGGCCGAGATTTTGAAAAAAAAATTGGCCCAATTTTTCTTTTTCTGGGCCCATCCAAGGCCCCCAGCCCCCCCCAGATCCGCCAGTGCTAGTATAGGGTTCATAATATCACACGTCCACGTACACTGTTCTTATAAAAAATATGTAGCATAACCTCCGTTTTACTTTTCAAATGGGACGTAAACCATGCATACACAGTGGTGAGTTAGTATTTCGTGAGTAATGATAAAGTATACCATCACCAGAAGCATTGAAGACCTTTTCAATAATCATTCACCAAGAACCAATGAGGATTGGCAGCCATTATTCAAACTCGATATTCCGTTGCCTGGCGTGGAACAATTCTGTAAGATTCTCTTTACCAAAAGAGGTCCACGCCGGGCAACAGAGTATCGAGTTTGAATAACGGCTTCCAATCCTCCTTGACCAAGAACCGTTCTTTGATCTTTGCTCAGATATACTTTGCCATGCTTGACCAGACATGACCGTATCTTAGTTTATTGCCTGTTGATGGATTGGATGTCCTGAGCGATCTGTACTAAAATATTTCTAGTATCTTCCCGATCAACTTTAAAACCATACTTGTGGTAAAACCTCTGTAGTAATGTTTCACCAGCAGGATTCTCTGGTTTTGACTTTTGTATTTTTCCGATTTAGCTGTTAATATAATCCGAACACCTCCCAATCTGAACACTTTTTCGGTCCCAGGTTCTCCTCCCATTGACCCCCATGTTCACGGGCTGGTATCGAAATATTTGTCCGCTGTGACGGAGCATGCTATTTTTTATAAGAACACTAAGAATACTTCACAATTTATTTTTTAACTCATATGTTTCGTTATACCATAGAAAATTACTTACTCCATGCAATGGATATATCATTTGCGGGTAACTTTAACTTCTGTTTGAAGTTCAATTACGCTGGGAAGAAAAGCTATTGAAAATGGCGCCGGAGTATCATACTTCAAAATGTACCATTTCTTGTTTAACTTTCTATTGGCACGATATAGTGACATGATAATATTTACACATGGTTTCAGCATAACTAAGAAGGTATAGATGAGATGTTGATGTATTTGGTCTTTTTAACTCTTTTATAAAAAATAATTTTAAATTTTTCTGTCCGCTGTGACGGAGCGGTTGCAAATGTGTACTGTGAAAATGCTCCGTCACAGCGGACAAAAAATATCAATATTATTTTTTATAAAAAAATAAAAAGACCCAATGCATTAATATCTCATTAATACATTCAGAGTTATGTTATAAACATATGTTAATATTATCGTGTCACAATATCATGCCATTAAAAAGTTAAAAAAGAAATGGTACATTTTAGAGTGTGATCCTCTGGTGCCGTTTTCAATAGCTTTTACTCCTAGCGTTATCGGACATCAAACAGAAGTGACGGTTACCCGCAAATGATATATCCATTGCATGGAGTAAGTAATTTTATTTGATATATCGAAACATATGAGTTAAAAAATAAATCGCGAAGCATTCTCAGTGTTTTTATGAAAAATGGCATGCTCCGTCACAGCGGACAAATCTTTCGATACCAGCCTGTGATGTTAAAAGATCTTAAAATATGAACACCTCTCAATGTGAACAGTGAACAGTCATATTTCTATTTATAAACTTAACCTGTCCAATCTGAAGAGTTTTCACAAAATATTACATGTTTAGCTCTCTTTTAGTAGCGACGTCAAACGAATGCAAATGGTGACAAAGGTAGCTCAAATTATTAGACACTGTTGTATCATAACATCATGCGTTAGTAAAGGCTCTCTATCATAATGTATTAAATGTAATTTACTTATAGAAATCCTGCGTTAGAAAAGGCTCCCTATATATTAAATATAGCTTACTTATATAAGTCATTCGTTAGTTAAGGCTCACTTTATGTTAAATGTAGCTTAAGTTTTCAAAATATTGCGTTCGTTAAGGCTCTTTATATATTAAATTGAGGTTATCAAAACCTGCGTTAGTAAAGGCTCTCTTTATATTAAATGAAACTTTTTATTTAATGTCTATTCAACCTGCGTCTCTAGATCTTATTTATTCGAACGCTGCGTGCGTAAGAGGGCTTTTTATTTTATTTCCAGGGGCTGATGAGCAAAGGCGAAATAAAGTTTAGATAAAATATAATGATGATCTTAATTTGAAAGCAAAAGTATAGTATCGATTTTGTGCTCTAAGAATAAGAGTCTTGTTTGCATTATCTTTCAAATGTGGCCATGAATTACGTGACTTGTGTTTCAATGTAGCATACTAATAATTGTATACTTTGTCATCCAGTTAGCCTATAAAACACTCGAAGTGTCAGCTCGATGGATCGCGAGCATGCCACAATAGCCCAAGTGGCTAAGTATGCGTCTCTGGTACTTAAGGTTCTTTTCAGTTTTAATTGTCCCTTCAAAGTTTTCACCAGCGGTAGCTTGTTTTGAATGTCATCTTTTCAAAAAGTAGTCGAAATAAGAAAAGAAATGATCATTGTATCAGGTAACAGATTTTAAGTTTCAATTTATTATTACTTTCCCACGCTAGTATAAATCATTTCTGGTATCAGCAGCTGTCCTCAAGTCTTAATCCTTCAAAGAACAAAACATACCAACGATGTTTTTCTCACATTAAACGCCTAATAATAAGATGCAATACAATAAAAATACAATAAAAAGGCTAATGACAACAATTTATAAGATGAAATCAATTTATTGTTTTCAAAAGATCACTGTTTAGATGTAAACAACGCATAGGTCAATCAATCAATATAACCATCACAATCGTTTCATAAAACGTATCTGTTTACAGTAAAGAGTGTGACCTAGATCTAAACCAGGCGAGGGAAAAATTAATAGCCTAAAATTCATTTATTTATTTGGAAATTATGTTTTTGTTAATATGTCATAATTTGGTTGGGCACTTGGCTCGCTTGCCGTATGCCTGGCTACGTCCGTGACAATTGTATTCGATTTCGTTGTTCGATTCAACTCCAGGGGTTTGTTGCTAATGACCATTTTTCACACAAAGCTAACCACTACCTCCAATCTCCCATGTGTGTAGATATTGGAATATTGAGGATACGTCAATGTGTTTTTTGTACGGGGATTTATCCTATGAATGCTTACTTAATATGTACCCTTCTTGTAAGAAGTTTCTGTTGTTTTATTGTGATGGCTTTTAGGGGTTGATGTGGTTCAAATATCAAGATGTTTTCTGTTCATCATTTCAGGGGCGACAACATGAATGGAACCGAAGACGTTAACTTAATGTCCAATAAAAACAACTCTACCAATGTATCAGCCATAATTGAAAATCTCCTACAGGGATACGATATACGACTTAGGCCATATTTTGGAGGTGAGTAAGAAATACGTTATTAAGTTTTACATTAAAGACACAATCTTGAGTGCAATCCCAAAAGATAGTAGCCTGGGTGTAGTTCTAAAGAAGATGAAGCTATCTTTTAAGAAGCTAAGTCAAACGAATGCGATTGAGAAGGGTAGAAATATGAATACCGTTCCTCAGAAATTATCCTCAGAATCTATTTCGTGGATTTTTCCAAATTCTTCGTATAGGTGTTCTGTTACAGAGTTCAGTGAAGCTACCCCCCCCCCTCAAGTGTACATTATACACAAGGAATAATATGGCACATTCGGTCGAATAAAATTTAAGTTTAGCTTATTTAGTTCAACATCGACATGACCTTTTTATTTTTAATAGGGATGTTAAGTCTGTATACACGTACCTGTTGCATATTTAGAAAACATCCAGATCACGTAACAAAATATTGATCTTGATAGACGCCAGGCTATTTATTTTTGCGATCTCTCTCTCTCTCTCTCTTTTATGAGAGGAGAGGTTTAGACTCTTTGTACATTTGCTGTACATGTAAATGATGGGATGCAACTGTTTAGCCTTGGAGACTTTATATTCAGTGGCAAAAATGCCGGATATTGTACTTTGCTTTAAGAATTGTCAGATTAAGTCTAATGATAAAATCAGATATTACTTCATGGAGGCGGACTGTTTTTTCTGTAAATCAATGTTATTTATAAGGTTAGATTGTTCCTTATTTAACACAATATTGAAAGAACAAAAACAATTTGACAATAACATCAATGGCAATAAACACTTCTTTCTTCATATTACTTCCTCCATTAATTTATAGATCAATCCTTGTACAAATTGGCTCCCATCTGGAAGGGAGAATCAAGTATGTTTAGATGATAGATTCGTCAAGTTAATATACCAGAAATGTAAACAGATATTGGGGGAATATGTTTGTTGTAGTTAGTGTAATCTTCTATATCCCTTCTTAGACACGAAGAACCAGACTGAGCCATCCGGTGTTTTTTGCATTTTGACAGGAAATCCTATAATAAATAAAATGTTACATCTTTGAAGGAATGTGCTCAGTGCCTAACATTCCCAATTCAGAAAAGATATCACAAATTTGTTTGACGATATACAGTCCCGGGTTTTTACTGTGGTGGGGGTTCAAAAGAACTATCCAGATTTATCGTAATATGAGAAATAATCGTTATAAAGAAATAACTTAGTAGACGATATAAGATAGTAGACCAAATGTGAAATAGTGACCAATTAAAATAGGAGACTTAATGTGAAATAGTGACCAAATAAAATAGGAGACTAAATGTGAAATAGTGACCAAATAAAAAATGAGACTAAATGTGAAATAGTGACCAAATAAAATAGTAGACCAAATGTGAAATAGTGACCAGATAAAATAGGATAATCAAATAGTGTTCCGATTGAAATAGCAGTTAAAATGAAATAATCGACCAAATTAAGTAGCAGACCAAATTAAGTAGAAGGCCCAATGAAACAGTGGGCCAATTCAAATAGTGTGTCAAATGAAATAGTAAATCCAATACTTTTAGTTCCGTATTGCCTATTCTTACTCGTTGCCAAATGAAATAGTCGACCAAAGTAAGTAGTGTATCAAATGAAATAGTAGACCCAATGCATCTAGTTCCGGTTTTGCTTATTCTAACTCGTTACTAGATTAAAGTGACCAAAGTATATAAGTAGTGTATCAAATGAAATAGTAGACCCAATGCATCTAGTTCCGGTTTTGCTTATTCTAACTCGTTACTAGATTAAAGTGACCAAAGTATATAATTAAGTAGTGTATCAAATGAAATAGTAGACCCAATACATCTAGTTCCAGCTTTGCTTATTCTAACTCGTTACTAGATTATAGTGACCATATAACTTTGCTTTATGATGGAAGCAAATTGACGTCTCATTGCTATTATGGTAGTCTTAAATGCTCCATGTGCTGTATATATGTCTCTGGTGCAGTGAGATACCATTGGAATTGGTCTGCGTCTTATCAATCCTTCAGCCTCGCATATAGATTTCTTTTGATTGTACATATTCGAATCATGATTGGATGCCTTTATTTCAAGATCAAAACCCAGCGTTACTATTTATCTGTATATCCTGGCTGTGATCCCTAAGGTAACGTAGCGTGATAACAACAAACGAGCGTCTGAAAACACATGTATACCTAGTTAATCACCAAGTTACTGCTAATTAGTCTTTTTAGAACTTGAATAGAATTATGTTACATCTTCAATACTTTAGATTGTCTCGTGACAAATATCATGCATTTACAGAGATTCCTGTGTTTGCTCAAGATTGTTAAGACAAATATGCATTCAAGGAGGATTGGCTCCCAGAGTGCACCACCGATATTCTGTCCCATATATGGGTATGTCGTAATACAAAATTCGAATTCAAACAGCCGCCATTTTGTTCACTTCAACATTTAAATCGTGAATTTTGGTCTTATTTCCAAACGAAAAATTCCAAAACTCACAAGAAATGATCGAGATATTGGTTCGAATCTTTTGAACTGTTTATTTTGAATTTATAGTCGGTTTTAATTTCAGAAAATAACGACATTTCGACGTTTTCATTGTTGGAAAATATCGAGTTTCGATCCTGGGAGCCAATCCTCCTTGATATGCATTAATTAACAATTAATGGACGTCCTTGTTTCAGTAGCCCCACATCGATGAATATCTCAACAGTTTCTAAGTGGTGGGAAAATGTTACTAGGTAGTGTTTCTTTGTACATAAGATTATTTTTTGGATGCTGGGGGTTTTGCTTTAAGACCGGTTGTTTCATTTCTATCTGTTTTATGTCTTTACCCTAGTGACACTTGTACTACATTCACTTAATGAATATGCAAGATGCGAGCCCAGCGTTCATTTCATTATCTAGACTGAATCATCATTATCTCCACGTCGTATTGAACCCTAGACGCAACGAGGTGCAACCGTGTATATACAACTTTGATGAAGCTTAATTACCTATTCCTTGTCAAACAAAGTCGTATCAATTTGTAGGATATGTAAGCTCCTGGATGTTACTTGTATTATCTTCTAATACGAACATCACTGTAATGTTCCTTTGTGATTTACAATTGTTTTTGGCAAGCAGCTGATTATTCGTCGCTTGTTAAATTCAAAATTTAGATCGTAAGGAGTCACTGGTATGAATGAATGAGATATAAGCCTACTTAATTAGACAAATCACATGAGTTCGATTCCCATTTTCGATTCATTTTTTGCAATTCAATTATCTGGATTCACACATATCAAAAACAACACAAAGTATATGATACATAGGAATTAAACTGGTAGCCTTTGCACTAACTTAAGGTTTTAGCATGACCCGGATAACAAGAAGATCACTCCAAAAATATTGAGCCCTGGATATTGGTCACAAATTTGAATCATGCTCTTGTGTTCATTATTGAGTTATAAGGAACAGTAAATTAGCGAACGATTTGGTTGAAAGCATCATCTGAATGCAGGGTTCCAGAATCATACACAAAGTACCTTCTTGTGTATGATTCTGGAACCCTGCGTTCGGAGGATGGGATGAACGTATTAGTGTACCTTTAAGTTGATGTATTGGCTCATGTTTTATAAATATAAGTTATTTTGATCGCGTCACTGCATTCGCTTAATTGTTTAGAGAAATTCCACAATTCGTTAAGGAAACATTTACGACAAAGAAACAGATTTTCATTGATTGTCACTGTATTCTGCAGATTGTATCGATAAATTCATCAACCCCCTGCATTGGGAAGGAAGAAGAATAATCGAATCAAGTCATTTTTTCTAGAATCCTTAATGATATCATCAAAAAAAGAAAACTTTTTGTTTTAAAAAAAGTTGCTCACCGCGTGTTCAAATCTAAATTACGTTCGGTAAAACCTAGAATGAAAATATTTTTGAAATGGTAAGCAAATCATTAATGAAAGGAGGCCGTTGAAGTAATAATTTAGAGTCGGACAGCCACTTGACATATTTTTGAAGGGAAATAAAAAAATCCATTTTTGCTCTTGTAAAGTCAGGATCGTCCCGCTGGCTGTATAGACACCAAAAACAAACATCATTGATTTCCTGCAAGAAGACAGGATATTGAATCATGGGACGAAAAAGTGTGCCTTTATAATGAGTAATTTTATTAACTGCGTTTATCAATGAATCTATAAAGTTTATCCAAAGTTATATTATACCATATACTCGTATATATGTGTATATCAATGACTATATTTGCTGATATATTAGCTTATACCATATCATAGAAGAGAGGAATACTTCTTCGGTTGTATGTCATCTGATGCAGCATAACATATTGAAATTGTTTGGCACCATATAGAATACTCCCGTGATATTCGATCAAAAATGAAATTGTGCAGATTAAAAAGCTAGTGGTCAAACATATCTTATGACTATCAGGTGAATTACTGTTTCTAGATGATTTTTATCAAACAAGTGCAGTCATGTGTACCATGTATAATACACAAATGCACTATGAAGGCATGTTTAAACAAGTCTGAACGGGTTTGGACAAGTCCAAACAGGTGTAATCAAATATTGACCTGTTAGTCAGGGATGTGATGTATGTGATCAGCAGGACATCTCAAAACGAAATGCACGTACTCTCCAAACTGTCCAGACTTAATGTATTAATGCATGCTATATGCTGGGATAACACTAACGAGTATATTGTAGATAAAGTTAATATAGGTAGCTTTTACCCATGCCCTTGTATGGTAAATATACCGTAGGGCCAGCGACTAGATCAGAGGGAGTACTAGTTTGTCGGGAAACCAGTTACCAAGTATATCACCATGCTCAAACATGTAGATATCACGTGCTCATATCATGTTCAAACGTGTAGATTGATGTATGAGTCTCGTTGTAGGAATGTCTGAGTCCTCCAAGAGGGTATCACGGTTAATAGTGTTTGTTCGATCAATGTTACGCTGCTCTTCCCGTTTGCTATGTTTACATTTCCTTTTATGTGAATA